AGAATCAAAACACAGCCTAGAAAATGACAAACTGAGCTAACTATTAACTTGCCACCTTAACTTGTTGTGTGGACTAGATTTGTGGCTATATAACAAAATCTAAAACAAACCAGAAAGTTATATGAAGCATACAAGTACTTCATATGTAAACTTTACCCTCAGGGGTTAATGTTTAAAATGGGTAAGAGAGAAAATACACAAATGGAAAAAGAGGAAAAGATTAGAAGTAAGGCTGGGAGACAAAGGAGATCACATTAACTTTGGGAAACTGGTATAGAAGATTGCAGGGAAAGAGGATATGATAAAAAGAACAGAACAGTACTATAACCACAAGGATTCTAGAAACCATATTCTCACTCATGTAAAAACAAGATCAAACAATGAAAGAGAAAACAAAAACAGAAACCACCACTACCACCACTACCATCACCACCACCACACCACCACCACCACCACCACAACAACAACAACAACAAAAGAGAAAAAAGCCTACTTTCAGGTTTGTCTCTGTTATCACTAGTAGACAATGTGTGGAGATCAAGTACTGATCCATACTGATTTACCCCAGTAATCCAGCAGTAGCTTTTTGGCAAGGTAGTAGATAATCTCAGTGAGCCTGCACCTTCTGCCCAAGACCAGACCAATTTAGCCTAAAACCATCAATGCACCTTCCAGGGGCCTGAGCCCAGCTGGGAGCCACTAGATGGAGCCAGCAGCTACTCTGAGTTCTTAGCTCAGCTAGCTGCTCTCCAAGATAGTTCAAGGAACTTTAATAGGGTGAAATGACAAGGCAGGTACTATATGGGTCAAATGATGATGAAGCAATAAGATTACTAGTATAGTTGCTTAGGTAATATTGATCCAATGGTAGTAAGGGCATATTGATGACATCATTAATCTTGGTTGATAATCTTTATCTTAATTTTATTTTATTAAGATAAGGTTCAGGCTAGCCTTGAATCATTATGTAGCCCAGGCTGGCCTCAAACTCATGGTGATCCTCCTGCCTCAGCCTTTCCAGAGCTAGGATTACAGGCTTGTGGCACCACACCCAATTCAGTAATCTGTAGTCTTCTTTTTTTTTGTGGTACTGAGGACTGAATTTAGGACCTTGTTCTTGCCAGGCAGGCACTTATTCTACTGAGTTATCTCCCAGTCCAGAATAAATTCATTCTGCTTTAAATCTGTTTGTTATTATTAGCCTATTTTCTTCCATCTTTTGTTTATTTATTTATTTTTTGTATTTATTTATTTATTTATTTATTTTTTTAGTATAGGGTCTACAGGGTCTCACTACACAGATCAGACTTGTAGTGATCCTCTTGTTTTCAGCCTTCTAAGCACTGGGATTGCAGGTGTACACCACCATGCCCAGTCTCATTCACCAGGGCAGCATGCCCCAGGGGCAGGGTCAGCAAGGCACACAGGGGATCAAGCCCCAGTTGCACCTGCCTAAACTGACACTTTAGTCCACTGAGCTATCTGGCCAGCCCCTGTAGTTTTCTATGTAGTCTTTGTCTTAGTGGTTTTAGTCTTAGTCTTAGTGGGTGGGAGAGGAGGGTCTTCCCCTAATGAGATCATGGGAAATTTCAAAGAGGTGATATCAAAAATCTCAAACTTCTATTTATCCCTCAGGGAAGTATGACAGTCTGGCCATTATGAATTTAATGTTCAGATGCACCTCCAACCACAGTCTCAGTGCCATTCTCATTTTCTGTACAGACTTCCTTAAGTGCCAGCCCTCACTGCCTACAATATTTCTACCTAACTTAGGTGTCTATAATATCCCACCCTCTAAAGAGGTATCCTTAACTGTGTTTAGGAAAAAAAGGGCATAGTTTCCATCTAGTTGCTTCAAGCTGAGAAGAGTCAGTAAAGGAGAAAGCACAGTCAGGGGCCATCTCCAGAGGTCTAATCCAATGGGCCTTGACTAGACATAATATTGCAGTTATGAACTCCCTTTACAAAGTTGACATAGTGGATCTTGGTAAAAAGAGTCTGGCACATTTGTTGTTGGTTTACTTGGACTTTGGTATCCTCTAGGCAAGAATAAAATAATTTTCCAAGAAATTAAGGCATGTATAATTAAAGAATAAGCACTAGAATGGAAAGGCCAGTTGAGGAAAGAGCCATGACTAGAAACTGCTCTTAGGGGACTGGAATAGCAAAACTGTAACCAGTTGGCTCTTAGACCCCTCTATTAATGGGGTTATCTATAAGTCTTCATCTTATAAATATCTATAAGATAGTTCTTGTTGTAAATCCCACTAGCTTTAGCTGTAAGAAGATGGAGACTTCAGTGCTTTTAAAGGACAATTATGGATAAGGTTAAAGATTCTTGTTGGGCCAAGGAGACAGCTGAGTGGCATAAGTTCCTTCTTGGCAAGCACAAGTTCCTGAGTTCAATCCCTTGTCCCCCCCAAAAAAAAAATTCTTGCTGAGCTCATATAGACTCCACTGTATTTTTTTTTAATGTACAATAACCATGGTCAGTTACCAGTGTACCTGGAAACTGTCAGAAGGGGTCAGTGATTGAAGCCCCTTTTGATATCTAGTTTTTCTTACTATGGTATTGTTTTCATCTTTTGGCTATACTTTTCTCTTATGTGTTTAATATCAAGTTAAGGTGAGACTTGTGGCAATCAAAATTAACTCTTGCTCTCTATTAAGGTCAGTTAAATCTCCTCAGGCATTTCTTTTGAAACCATGTACAAAACCTCCCAGCTTATCTGTCAGTGTTAGCTGGCAGGATGGGTTATGGTCTTCCTTGACCTTGACCTATGAAAGGATGGGAGACTTTTTCCTCTTTGTGACCTTGTTTGGTGACACTGTACCTTTGTTGATTCCTGTCCTCTGGGGTGAGGCAATCTCCCTGCTCAGGAGGTTGGGTGACTCACCAAAGTTATAGGCTCCCATAGAAAAGGTTCTCTCAAACTACTTTGGCAGTAACAATACACAATGTACTAACCATTGTTACTCTCCTAAGATCTTGTTTTGAGATTTTGTACCATTGTTTTTATTTCTTTTGTTTTAAAATAAAAATAACTAATGTCAAAAAAAAAAAAAAAAAGAAAAGAAAAGGTTCTCTCATGTTGGGGATCCTTATTGACCTTGGAGGGCCAGGGCCCAAATATTGGCTGTCTTCTTAGCCAAGTTACTTCTCTAGTTTTAGTCTCCAAACATCAGTTGTTGAAAACCCAAAAGAGAAGATCAGTGTCATCAGTATCTCAGAGGGAGCAATGAGTTCAACTATTGTAATCTCATCTGAATAGCAAATATATCCAGAGGACTGTTATTTCTTACCAACCATGGTTATTTTATTTTTATTTTTCTATGGTTGTTTTAGTAGTTTAATCTGTACAGTATGTTAACAGACAATATTTATAAAGTTCACATAGGATTTCAGCATGGGAATCATGATGATATTTTATCTTTCCAACACAATGTACATCTTAATATAGAGCAGCCGTTTTAGTCCAACATCTCTATCTGATCATGAGGCACTAAATGACAGAAAGATAATCTCACCTAATTTGCTATCCTTCAATAGGATGCCATCAAAGAAGAATGTCCTTGTCTGTAAATCTACCTTAGAAGTTTATAGCATCTACCCTTCAGTTTTTAACATTTTACATTAGTTGGGCTGCTTGGTGCCTGAATATCTCCAAGTGTAGTAACATACACATCACACGTGCCACAACACCTGGCCTATAAACAGATTTTTCACCTGCATGAATGTCCAATGGGACAATTGAGGGACAATTCATTGTGTGAGAATGTCTATCGTACTTGGGCTAGCATTCTTTAGTACCTTTTACTAAATGTCAGTAGTACTTTCTTCCAATCATTGTGACAATCAAAAGTGGTTCCACAAATTTCTAAATTCTACATATGAGGCAGTAGTTATTCCCATAAAGAACTTCTAGAATAAAATGATAAATGGAAGATATCTCCTGATAGATTGTTGAGTAAAATAGATAATGAAATAAAAGCCATGTCAGAAATCTGGAAGTGGTGGGACATCCTTATAATCCCAAAATTTTGGAGGCTGAGGCAGGAGGATCAGGACTTGAAGGCCACCCTGCACTATGTAACAAGTTCAAAGCCAGCCTGAATATATAGTGGGACCCTGTATCAAAAGCAAAAAATTAAAAAGCTACGTTTGAGGAATATTCTGTTAACTACTTTTCCTTCAGGTCTGAGGGCGAAGTAGAAAAAGAAAAAAAGAAGCAATTTTTATTTTTCCTTTTCTATTTTCTTTTTCTTAGCAGTTAAAATGAGGCAGAGGAAGTTTATAAATGCTAAGAAATAAAAGTCATTTTAATAAAAGTTAGAGTTATAATACAAGCACAGCTTCAAATCCAGTGCATTTTCCATTGTTATCATAGCATTGCTGGGATGATAAAAACAGAAAACATGTTTTTCATTTTGCAGTGCTGGGGATGAAATCCAAGGCTTTGAGCATACTAGACAAGCAATTTGCCACGTAACTACATTCTCAGCTCTTTTAAAATTATGATACAGTGGCCGGGGAGATGGGTCTGTAGAATAAACACTTCCCTGGCAAGCACAAGGGCCTGAGTTCAATCCTCAGTTCTGCAAAAATAAATAAATAAAAATAAAATTATGACACAGAGAAGATTTTTTTCTTAAATGGGAAAATCTGAGACCCACTGTAAAGCCAAAATTACCAAGAATTTAATTGGACAGCTTCATATTAACTGATCTGATAGTGACATTCTAGGAACAAAGGTGACCAAAGATTCTTTCTTTCTTTCTTTTCTTTCTCTTTTCTGGGTTGTTTGTTTGTGACAGGGTCTTGCTATGCAGTTCAGTCTCGCCTTGAACTCATGGTCACCCAGGCTGATCTCGAACTCACAATAATCCTCCTGCCTCAGCATCCTGAGTGCTGGGATTACAGGTGTGAGCCACAACATCTGGCCAAAGCTTATTTCCAAACTAAGAATTTATTAATATGTTGCTCCTTCTTACCCTAATAGGACATTAATGTGCAGCTGGGTGACATAATGAACAATGTGAACCGAATAATAACTCGCTATATTGCTCTGGATCGTAACTTATCTCCTGAAAGGAAGATCTCTCATGCAGAATCTAAGAAAACACAAAGAAACCTTCTTTTGGAGAAAATGACTGCTTGTGCTAAAGCTGCTGACCTTAAAGAAAAGACCCTTGTCTACATGTTATCTTGGTTGGAAGAATGGAGTAAGTTTCCATAAATGGTTTTCAGAGGAAAACTACAAGGTTAATAAAAAATGATAGAGAAGAAAACCTATACGTAAAATTTGAACAATTAATCAGCCTAAAGAAGGGAAGACTAAGGAGGTTATTCAGAGACAAGTTGTCCTCTGTTCAACGAAGAACAAAACAAGAAAGATACAGGCTTAGTGCCCGTTGTCCTTTTCTTTAAGCTCGCCTGAATGTTTACAAACAGAGCCCAGGCTTGGGCACTATTTCTTTGCATAGAGTGATTCCCACTGTGGTCCATTCCCTGCTTAACTCCTACTTGTATTAGAATGTAAGTAGTAGGGAACTTACTTTAATTAATGCTGTATCTACAACATCTAGAATGGTACAAGACAGAGTAGATATTAGTGGAATTAAAGAATGTATAAGCTAAGAATACAGGGGGAAAAGGATGTAATTCTGTTGTGAGAAGCCATACACTCATATTTTAGATACATATTTTTCTCGAGATAGGAAAATAAACCAATAGCTAGTTACTGTTTAACCTGATTCATACTTCCATGTACTAGTTAGCACTGCAGTCCAAGTCTCTCCCTTTATAATTTCCTCACAGAGAAAAGGCTCACAATATAAGAATTTTTAAAAATTATCAGAATAACAGTTAGTACAAAGTAACTATATTTTCTAACAGTACTATATTAAATGATTGCCTAATATAAGCCTGTATTATAATGTATTTATCTGCACACAAATAATTTTTTAAAATTTTCTTTAAGGTGCTATTTTGTCTGATATAACTCTAATGGATGTTGAAGAACACCACCACTGGATAGCACAAATGGAGATGTTACCAGATGTGTTAAAAGCCATTAACAACAATGTCAAGCTAATGTGTAAGATTAGTAGAGCTTTCCTTGAAGATAAGAAGAAACAGAAGAAAAAAATGTGTAAGTGTGCTTTATGACATGGGATATAGAGTTGGACTCTTTCTAAAACTATAGCTTTATTGAGGTACAACTTGCATGCTTTCATGTTAAGTGCACACATATTTTCAATAAACTTACACAATTGCACAATAATCGCCATAATCCAATTTTAGGGCATTTCCATTTTCCAACAAGATCTTTTGGGCTCATTTGTAATCTGTCTTCTCACCCACAGCTCCAGGCAACCGCTAGCATATTCTGTCTTCATGTATTTGCTTTTCTGAGATATTTTATACAAATAGAATATTATATATTGTCTTTTAATGTCCTTTATTTATTTATTTATCACAGTACCAGGGATTGAACTCTGGACCCTGCACTTGCCAGGCAGGTGCTTAAGCCGCTTAAGCATGCACAATTCCAACACGAGTTCGGCTGTCACACTTCACACTGCCAGTTACAGCGTGTGACAGGGGCTTAGCCACTCACGTCACCCCCACATGTGCATGCTTCACCACCTCACTGATAGATCAAAGGTGAGGGCTGCATAATGAAATATATTAAGAGAACACATTCATATAGCTTTTACTACAGTTTATTGTGATAATTGTTTTATTCATATTCGTAATATTCATATTAATAACAACAGTTGTTATTGTTAATCTTTTACTGCTAACCTAATTTATAAATTAAATTTTATGATAGATATGTATGAATAAGAAAAAAATATATGTACGATATGGTATACTGTGTGATTTCAGGCATTTGCAGGTGGTCTTACAGTGTATCCCTCACTATACAGGAAAGGGACTGGATATTTATTTTCCTTTTTTTTCCTTTTTATTTTTTGAGATGAAGAGTTTGCTGTTCCCCAAATTCTTTGGCTCAAGTTATCCTTCTGCCTCAGCCCCCCAAGAAAGTACAACTGTAGGCACATGACACCAAGCTTGACTTTATATTTTAAATAATCACAATCTGCTCAGATTAGTACTGACCCAATTCCAATAAAATATAGAATCTTTTTAAAAAAATATAGAATCTTTACATCAATAGCTCCATTCCCTTCCACTCCTTTGTATTATCACTGGTATATACAGTACACATTTGTAAGGTAAATAACATAATTTTATCATTATTCTTTGCTACTATAAATTGAGTATTTATATTAACCATCCGAAATCATGTGTTGAAATCTAGCCATGGATGTGCTACTCTTAGGCCAGGCCTTCAGGGTATGATTAAATCTTGATTTCAAAGCCCTCACATGGGATTAGTGTCACTCTTACCAAGAAAAAAAAAAAATTTCAGCAAGCACAAAGTCCTGGGTTTGATTACCAGTGGTAGGGGGAGCACCATTTAGAGAAGCAGGCTCTGACCTTATGCGGAACATGTCAGCACCTTTATTCTTGGGTTTTTTTTAAGACAGTCTCACCATGTGGTCCAGGCTGTCCTTGAACTCACTGTGTAGCCTAGGCCAGCCTCTTTCTAGAGGTAATCCTCCTGCCTCAGCCTTGAGGGCTGAAATTATAGGTATGTGCCACAACATCTAGCTGCCACACCTTGATCTTGGACTTCCCAGCCTCCAGCATTTCTTTTCTTTTTTCTTTTTTTTTTTTTTTTTTTTTTTTTGCGGAACTGGGGATTGAACTCAGGCCCTTGTGCTTGCCAGGGAAGCGCTTATTCTACTGAGCCATCTCCCCGGCCCCATTTCTATTGTTTATAAGACATCTAATGTATGATATTTTGTTATAGCTAAATACATCATCTTTTAACTCCTGCTTCAGCCTCTACAGTGCTGATATTATAGGCCGTGTACCACCACACGTGGCTCTCCTCTTATTCACAACTTATATTAGCATATATACTTGTTATCAGGATACTTTTTTTTAAGTACTAGGAATTGAACCCATAGCTCTATGCATGTTAGGAAAACACTCTGCCACTGAGCTACATCTCTATTCTTTTCCATTCTGAAGCAATCTTATGATGTTTCTCAGACTGGCCTTGAATTTGTAATTTTTCTCCCTCAGCCTCCTGAGTAGCAGGGATTACACATGTGTACCACCTAACCATAATTCCATAATTTATATTTAATAAACCTATATTGGAAAATTATTGTTGTTGTTATTATTATTATCATTATTATTGACAGGGTCTTGCTATGTAGTTCAGGCTGGCCTTGAACTCACCATGTAACCCAAGCAGCCCTCAAACTCATGGTAATCTTCCCGCTTCAGGCTCCTGAGTACTGGGATTACAGGCAGGCACCACAAAGCCTGGATGGAATATTATTATTAGCTAAATTTCCCCATTCAGAATTTCTTTTTTTTGACCTTTTTGTGCTTCAGATGATTACCTTAGTCATCATGTCTGCTTAGCACCACCCCCTTTTATTTTCAGCAATGGGGGATTGACCTCACAGGCTCTGCACTGTGCTAAAGCCCAAGCTTTTTTTATTTTTATTTATTTATCTTTTTTTTTTGTGTGTGGCTGGTACAACCCACCCTGCAGGCAGGGCTGTCATAGCATGTGGTGCTGGGTATTGAACTGTGGTCCCTGCACTTGCCTAACTTTGCCTAAGCAGGCAGCTTTAGAACGCTGAACTATCGTGCCAGCCCTCTTTTCAAAATTTTTAAATTTTGAAATAGGATCTCTCTAAATTGCCCAGGCTACATGAGAACCTTTGGTCCCTTCTGCCTCCACCTCCAGCTTGCTGGGATTATAGTCGTGTTGCCATCATGCCCTGCTGTAGCCTTATGTGACTGTGGCAGTTTCTCAGGCTTTTCCTTGTGTTTGATGTCCTTGGCAGTTTTGAAGAGTATGGTCATGTATATTTCAGAATGCTTCTTTATTGGAATTTGTCTGATTTTTCCTGTTGAGCCTAGAATTGTGGATTTTTAGCAGAAAAAACATGAGGGCCGGGAGATAGCTCAGTGGAATAAGCACTTCCCTGGCAAGCGCAAGGGCCTGAGTTCAATCCCCGGTTCTGCCACAAAAAAAAAAAAAAAAAAAAAAAAAGAAGGAGAAAAAACACGGAGGTAAAATGCGATTTTTTTTTTTTAATTTTACATTTATTTAGTGTGTGTGTGTGTGTGTGGCCAGCTCAGCCCACCAGGGGGCGGGGCTGGCTGGCATGTGGTGCTGGGGGATTGAACCGCGGTCCCTGTGCTTTGCCAAGCTTGTTCCAAATAGGTGCTTTAGACCACTGAGCCATCTCACCAGCCCTAAAATGCGATTTTCATCATCATGCCATCCCAAGGGCAGTGATACCTGCCTTTGTGGCTTGATACTGATCTTGACCACCAGGCTAAGGTGACCAGATTTCTCCACTATGAAGTTACTTTTTCTCTCCTCCCCATATTGTAAGCTCTGGAGGAAAGTCCGCATGTGCAGCCCACCCCCAAGGAACGCAAAGCCCAGCTGCCATTCCTTTATGGTGCAGCACCTACATAGTGTTTATTTAGGGGCTAAATTTTTCTGGTGAGTCTTTATCCTATAGTTATCTATTAATTTAGGCTAAATTCTCTAGTCTTAAACATAAATAGACCACAACATGAGAGAAGAACTGCAGTTCATTTTGGGGTGTTTTTCTTCTTCCAGTATCTCGAGGTACTCTCTGGAAATCTTGGAAAGAAAGAGCTACGAAGCGACCTGCAACAGCCCATGCTTTAAGACCAGATCAGATTATTAGTGATCAACTTGCTACAAGTACAAAGGTTGCAGAAATTCAAGATATGCTACAGGAACTCATAGGCACAGCAATGTTCAACAAATTGGAAACCAGTGCTATTAACTATATAGCATCAACAATACTAAACTTCTATAAAGCCTTGAATACGCTAAATGATGAATTAAAAATTATGAACTTCCAAAATGCAATTATGTATGTAGAAGAAACAAAAGAAGATGAAAAAGATATCTCCCTGAAGATAATGCAAGATCTCAGTGAACAAAATGAAATGCTTACTCAGAAACTTAAAGATGCAGAAGAAAAATATGAACAACTTATTCGATCCAAAGTTGTTTCAGGACCCCGAGCACACATAGCATCACCCACATTCACAAGCTTGAAAGTACCACCTGGGCTTTCTCCACAGTCCTCAGTGGCCATAGAGGACACTATGGACAGTATTTTAACCAAAGAATTCGAAAATATAGATGAACCCCAAAGAAAAGGGACCAAAAGCACTGGGAAAAAGTGGGATGCAGCAGTTTCCTATACACCTCAAGTTGAAATGACTCCAGATTTAACTGATCAACAACATATTTTACCTGAGAAAAAGCGGAAAATTGTGTCTCACGAGATTACTGGAGATAACATATCACTGAAGAGAGATGATGATAAAAAAGATGGGACTGTTGGGTCTTCACCCCAAAACAAAAAGTTCACAAAAGACCCACATTCACAGGAGACTTCTGAATCAAATTTGAGTGCTGGTAAAGATGAACAAAAAGGCTTAGAGACCAAACCGGGTCAATACTCTGAGCAACAAACCCTGGAAAAGAAGAAAAAGCGAAGAAAATCATCTTCTGAAGCCAAATCAAAGTCATCTACTGAATCAAAAAGCCAACATATCTCTTCTATGGAAACAAAGAATCAAGAACAGAAAAGTGGAAAAAGTATGTGGGAGCAATTCAAGCCCAAACCTGAATATTCACCTGGAAAAGGTCCAGTTCCATCAGAGGCTGAATTAGAACTCACCACCAAATTGATGAAGGACAAAGACACCAGAAGTGAGCAGACAGAGCCATTCAGGACAATCAAGGCTGATTTCACTTCTGAGCCACAGAAAGTTGAAACACAAGGAAAGAAACGCCAAATCTTTTCAGGAACTACTACAAGCAAAGAAGAAAAAACTGAAGAGGAGATGTACATCTTCACCAAACAAGCCCCGTTTCAGCAACTTGCTAAAGCACAGTCAAAGGTCACGAAAGAGACTCTAGCAAGTCCAGATGGCAAAAGTGAACAGAGCAACATAGAGTTATTTCAAAAAGCTATACTGGCTTTCCTGAAGGAAAAAATTGATAGCACAGGAAAGCCTTTGGATAAAAAGAGAGTGCTGAAGGAAGAAGAGTTACTTATAAAAGCAGAAGGTGAAAAGCTGGGAGTCATAGAGGCAAAGATGGAGGAATATTTCCAAAAAGTGGCTGAAACTGTAGCTAAAATCTTGAGAAAATACAAAGACACAAAAATGGAAGGACAAGTTGGAGAGAAACGTATAAAACAAAAGCAGGGACTCCCACTTATGCAAGGATCACCTGAAAAGGAGTTATCAATTAACGTAAAGCCTGAAGTTAGCTCCTTCCTCTCAAATGAGAGCACAGACCTATTAATTAACACTTTATTACAAATGATCTTAGCTGAGATGGAAAGTGAAAGAGATGTTCCAAACATTTCACTAACAGAAAACATCCCCGAGGAGAAAGGAAAAAGGCAGCAGGAGAAATATTTGCAAGGCCAAGAACAGATGCCTGGTGGTGCGGATCTCAAACATCTCTGGAAGAGCTCTCAGAAGACACTTGACAATTTGGAGGCAAAAAAGGCATTGCTCCAGGTGAAGAAGATAAAGGAAGGGCCACAAGGGCAGAAACAGCGGCAGGAAGAAGAGATGGGGAGGGAAGGGCAAACACAGGGGGTTCAAAAACAGACTCAACAAGATGAGAAGCAAAAACAATGGAAAAGTAAGAGAGATGAACAGAAGACAAAGCAGCAGCAGCTGGAAGCACAGAAGCAAAAGATGAAAGAAGGAGGAGTGCCCTTGGAGGAGGAGAGAGAGAAGAGCCAGCAGATTCAGAAGGAAATGTGGCTTCAGGACCTGAAAATGAGTAGGGGAAAAGATGACAAGGAGAAGTTGAGCGAAGAGCTAGAGGACCTCAAAAGACAGAGGCCGAACACAGCTAAGTATCAGATGACAAAAAGACCCGAAGAGTTAGTAAACATGATCACCCAAAATTCAGTGAAATTATCTCCAAGGGGAAAGAGCACAATGAAAAATAAGACCCAACTATATCAAGGAAAAAAGATGCAGATAAATCTTAAGACATTAGAGAGTTTTCCAGAAGGAAAGTACCCCCAAACAGACTCTCCTATCACCTCCACTCAATCCTTTCCAACTGGCACCAGTCTTGATTCTCGGCAGCCTCTGACAAAATACATCACTCCCAGTCCTCAGCAGGCTCAGGATCAAGAGATCACTCTCACTTCTAGGAAGGCGAAGGGCCTGGAGGTCACTCTGACCCAACAGGCTCAGGTTGATGGGATTACTCTGACCCCTGAGCAGGTTCAGGCTCAAGGGATCACTCTGACCCCTCAGCAGGCCAAAGACCTGGGGATCACTCAGACCCCTCAGCAGGCTGAGGCTCAAGGGATCATTCCCATACCTCGGCAGGCCAAGGATGTGGGGATGACACTCAGACCTCAGCAGGTTCAGGCTCAAGGGATCACTCTCACACCTCAGCAGGCCAAGGACCTGGGGATCACACTCACACCTCAGCAGCTTCAGGCTCAAGGGATCACTCTGACCCCTCAGCAGGCCCAGGACTTGGGGATCACTCTGACCCCTCAGCAGGCTGAGGCTCAAGGGATCATTCCCATACCTCGGCAGGCCAAGGATGTGGGGATGACACTCACACCTCAGCAGGTTAAGGCTCAAGGGATCACTCTGACCACTCAGCAGGCCAAAGACCTGGGGTTCACTCTGACCCCTCAGCAGGCTCAGGTGCAGGCTCAAGGGATTACTCTCACCCCTCAGCAGGCCCAGGACCTGGGGATCACACTCACCCCTCAGCAGGTACAGGCTCAAGGGAAAACTCTGACCCCTCAGCAGGCCAAAGACCTGGGAACTGCTCTGACCCATCAGCAGGCTCTGGCTCAAGGGATCACTCTCACACCTCAGCAGGCCAAAGACTTAGGGATCACTCTGACCCCTCAGCAGATTCAGGCTCAAGGGATCACTCTTACCCCTCAGCAAGCTCAGGCTCAAGGGATCACTCTGACCCCTCAGCAGGACAAAGACCTAGGGATCACTCTGACACCTCAGCAGGCCCAGAACTTGGGGATCATTCTGACCCCTCAGCAGGCTCCAGTTCAAGGGATCACTCTCACACCTCAACAGGCCAAAGACCTGGGGATCACACTCACACCTCAGCAGATTGAGGCTCAAGGAATCACTCTGACCCCTCAGCAGGCCAAAGACCTAGGGATTACTCTGACCCCTCAGCAGATTCAGGCTCAAGGGATGACTCAGACCCCTCAGCAGGCCCAGAATCTAGGGATCACTCTGATCCCTCAGCAGGCACAGGCTCAGATCACTCTCACACCTCAGCAGGCCAAAGGACTGGGGATCACAGTCACCCCTCAGGAGGCTCAGGTTCAAGGGATTACTCTCACTCCTCAACAGGCTGAGCAGCTGGGAATTACTCTGACCCCTCAGCAGGCTCAGGCTCAAGGGATTATTCTAACCCCACAGCAGGCCAAAGACCTAGGGATCACTCTGACCCCTCAGCAAGGTCAGGCTCAAGGGATCACTCTCACACCTCAGCAGGCCAAGAACATGGGGATCACGCTAACTCCTCAGCAAGCTCAGGCTCAAGGGATCACTCTGACTCCTCAGCAGGCCCAGGACCTGGGGCTCACTCTGACCTCTCAGCAGGCTGCAGCTCAAAGGATCACTCTGACCCCACAGCAGGCCCAGGACCTGGGGATCACTCTGACCCCTCAGCAGATTCAGGCTCAAGGGATCACTCTGACCCC